CCTAAGCTCTCTTTCTACCTTCTTCTCTCCTCTCTCCCCATCCAATGGGTAGTAGACCCCCCACAGACAACCTGGATTGCATGTGTTTCCCGGCACATGGTGTGAGAATGTAAAATCACACAGCAAGCCTTTCCTTGGCTGTCTGCCTATATCTTCATTCCCCAGATTGCTTTAAGTTCTTGGTCAACACATGTGGTCAAATCACTCATCCCACCCCATCACAGAAACTGCTATTGCCTTTGGAGATAGAGGAGTGGGATGACGAGTGGTTCTGGGGAGCTGGTAACTGGGGACTTTCAGGATTCCAAACCAGGTTCTTTCCCCACCTCCTCTTTGGAGACTGGGCAGGATCCAGTTGCCCTCCACAGGGCACTGACATCACCAGTACTCACTTCCTGGCCAGCCAGGCCTCTCCCTCATCACATATGATCTCTCTCATTGGGCCATCCCCATCCTATTCTGTTCAGCAGCTGGGGAAAGAGGAAATGGCAGAGTGGGAGGGGCTCGGGGCGTGTTTGGGGATGGTGTGACAGGGCAGGTCCCTCTCTTTTTAGGAATCACTCTAGGAAACATTCTGCAGATATTGGCTTTATCGACTGATGCTGGAATGGTTGTTGCCACGGCAGCAGAGGCTCCCACTGCAGTAGAGGATGGTGGGAAACTCCGGGGATGTGAAAGGAATCAAAAAAAGAACCAAATAGAGGGAAAGGTCGCATTAGGGAGTGTCTGAAAGTTACAAGATGCCAAGATAACTATTTCTTTTTTAATTAAAAAATATTTTATTTATTTAATGCTTTATTTACTTCTGAGAGAGACAGCGTGAGCAGGGGAGGCTCAGAGAGAGAGGGAGACACATAATCCGAAACAGGCTCCAGGCTCTGAGCTGGCAGTCAGCACAGAGCCCTGCATGAGGCTCGAACCCATAAACTGTGAGATCATGACCTGAGCCGAAGTCAGATGCTCAACCAACTGAGCCACCCAGGCGCCCCTATTTTATTTATTTTTGAGAGCGAGACAGAAAGAGCACGAACTGGGGAGGGGCAGAGAGAGAGGGAGACACAGAATCCGAAGTAGGATCCGGGCTCCGAGCTGTCAGTACAGAGCCTATTGTAGGGCTCGAACACGTGAACTGTGAATCATGACCTGAGCTAAGTCCATCCCTTAACCCCAAAATGACTATTTAGAGAGGCCACCACATGGCCATGGCACTATCCTTTAGAGAGTGGCAGTGGGAAAATGAGTAGTACTGGGTGGATGGAGAGAGGACTAGCACTCAAGGGGATTAGCACTAAATTAACTCATGAAATGAGCATGGAGGGTGCTTCCTCTCTTCTTGAAGGAGGCAGAATTTCAGGAGCTGTTTATTGAAGAAAAAGAAAGGACTTGGGATTTGGGGCATAGGATGTCCCTCGAGAGGAGGCACAGAGGAACAAAGAGGACTAAAGAGTAGGCTGGGACCAGGCTGGAACACAGGAGCCACTGAGGGTAGAAGATGACTGGAAGAAAGGAAGATCAGGGGCCATGGGCATCCAGGGACAAGGACGTTCAGGTGGACAAAGCAACAGGTGGAATAGTGCTTCATAGCAGTTCTGAAGATTAATTTGACAAGAGCCAACCTACAAACCTACCAGAGACAGAGGCTACATGAACCTCGGGGAGAGCATGTCATGTTTGCCTACAGCAGTACGCACTGGGTGGAATGGGCCATGGCAAAAATAATGTTTTCTCGGTCAGATAGCAACCAGTTACTTTCTCCCAGTTTGCTAAAGAGGGGATGATTTTACATGCAGGGAAAGAATGTAGAGACAACAAGCAAAAGCTACTGTAACTTAGCAAATCTGAGAACGAGAATCCCCAGATTCTCGCATTGCTATTTTTAGGAGAGGTGAGGTTCCTGTGTGAATTAGGTGTGTTTCCTGCAAATTAGGGAATGACCTCGGAATGAGGATGCAGACTTTAAAAGCGATTATTTGCTGTTTCCTTAAAGGTGGCCTGTGGGAGGGGGAAGAAAGGGCATGATTACCCAGAGATTTGGCATCAGTGATTCGGCTCAGCCCCTTCCTTGAGTAGAGGCATGAATAACTCATGTGTGCCTAGAGAGAAAATTTCAGGACTGGCCTCCTCCTTTGGGCACTCTCTGTGCCTGGGGCAAGTTCTGGCATGATACGGCTCAAGTCCCTTTAACCAGATCTTTACTGCTTGTCATTTCTGATCTGAAATCACAAGCCTTGGTTCCACCGCCAAGTTTCCAAAGCGCCAGACACAGACTCTGATGCCAGTCTGCATGTGCCCTCTGGACCTTCTGGTAAATTTTTGCACCCAGCCCCTTTTCTCAGCTCCTTTGAGGCTGTAGGGCATGAGCCTGGACAACCTCCTGCTTCCTGCTCTCCTGGTCTCACCCCTTGAGTTATTTATACTGCTTAATATTCTAGGAAGCCTTCACAACCTCCTCCACCTGTCCTGCGTGCCAGTAGGCTCTTACTGCTACGCTCACACGTATGCAGCACCTACAAAGGAAGTGCTGGACTTTGGGGTTACAGCAGTGAATGAGACAGCCAGGGTCCCTGCTCTCCAGGGGTCGGTCTTCCTCTTGTCATTCCTGTAATTAGTATACAAGGACCTGTGTCTCCCTATTGGTGATCAATGTGTTGGTGTATGTGACATTGCTTTTTCACAGGGTCAGGATGATTATTTTCCCAGATCTGTATTGTCTATTTTGTAACCCCTGTTAGATACTGAGTTCTCTCAGGGTAGAATCTCCATCTTTCTCTGTATCAATCAAGGCCCAGCCAAGCGTCCATGCTTCTTACCAAACACCCCTCTGCTCGAGAACTCTATGTTCTTGGTACTGTGGTTAAGCACATCCTCTTGGTTATGATCCCTGTCCTTGCAGAGTTTGTGGTACCTCAGTCCAGCCCTGGGTTTATGGAAGGCTGAGTCCTGGGGACACTACCAGGACTCACGAGTCATCCAGGGTACAAGGCCAGTGTATAGCACTCAGGCCTCCAAATCCGCTTTACGAACACAGATGCTTCATGCAAGATGGTGAGAGACAGTTCTGCACGCAGAAAGCTCCAGTGCTCGTGGGGGAGACAGACATGTACACAAATACCTCTCACACCAGGCAGGCTGTGATGACTAGTGCTAGGAGGGGGTGAACCATGAGACTCAGGCACAGGGTTCTTTAGATTCTAAGAGGCCAGGCAGGAGGCTAGAGGGATGGTGGGGATGGGGTGGGCAGATAATCTGGTGGCTAGCACATTTTGGCAAAGAGTTCTTGGGGTGCCTGACTGGCTCCGTTGAAAGAGTATGCAAGTCTTGATCTCAGGGTCGTGAGTTCAAGCCCCAAGTTGGGTGTAGCGATTACTAAAAGAATAAACTTAAAAATAAAAAAGTTCCTAGGGCTTTACAGCCCTCAGTGTGTGGCTCCATCTGGGGCCTGCCCCTCCTGGAACAAGCTTGTTTCCAGAGACATCCCCTCTGCTTTCTCCTGGCCCTCACTTTCTTGCCTGAGAACCATTTGCTCAGGCAACTTGGCCCTGACTTGGGAAGCCATGGGAAAATGGGCAGTGTCGCCCTCTATTGAGGGGCAGCCCTAGGCAAATCACTGGGTCTCCACCTCTTCCACCCAATCTTTCTTCCCAGTGCCCAGGTGGGAGGGGGGAAAGGGGCTAGGAAAATGTTGTCTTCTTAAATTGCTCTGCAGTACCGCTTTAGATCAGCCTGGCAGAGGACCCGTCCTAAGCCTCTAACTGATTTCCTAGGTTTGACAAAGCGCTTTACAGTCCCAAAGTCCTTTTACCCATTAAGCTGGTATTATAATCACTGTAAGAGGAGAGAGCAAGCCAAAGGGGTACAATGACTTTGACAAGGTCATGCGGCCAATAGAATGGGAATCTAATCTCCTGATCCCAAGAGCTGGTCATTTCCTCCATGCCCTGAGCCCCCTCCCCAATCAGTTCTAAGCCTGTCTCCCCCCAGCCACACCAGTCCCATCCCCTTTGCCCTACCTCAGGAAGTATCCCCTACCTCAGGAGGGCAGCCATGAACCTCCGAAACTGAAGTAAGATGGTACCGGGAGTTTCCAGGAGAGAAACCGCAACGTTTTGGAGTGGGGGCGGGGGAACCAGCAACCTGGATACATTGCTCCCCCATCCCTCTCCCAGCGTCTCTCCCGGACCCCCACGAGCCCACCTTTCCTCCCGCATCATGAGCTGCCCAGTCTCAGTCCCTTTTCCCTGCGTCCCACATCTCCTCATCAGATCCTTTCCACGGCCCCCCACCCTCTGGGCGCGGCAGGAGACTACCGTGCCCTCTGAGAACCTGTCCCGCCTCCGCGTGGAAAGCCAGGAGAGAAAGTGGTGGGATCCTTTATCTATCCCCGACCCCCTACTCATCCGCCCCTCGATCTCTGCAGCAAATACCACCCCCTCCCGAGCCAGAAATAGACACACGCTCGCTCTCCCCCACCTCCCTCCCTTGCGCACACTCCTCCCCTCCTCCTGTTTGCTCCTCCGCCTTCCCCTCCCCTTCTTCCTGCGCTCGGAGCTGCAGCCTGCAGCCTCTACTCAAGCTGGCGGGCGGGGTGCCGCGAGGGCGCTGCCCGGCAGTGCTCTGCCCGCAGGACTGACAGGCGGGCAGGCGGAGGGCCGGGATCCGGGCCTCGAAGCACCTCAGAGCGTCCGCGGAGCTGCTGGGATTCCTTTCTTCCTTTGATTGATTTGTAAATTTTAATTTGTATTTCCCCCGCCCCGCCCCTTTTCCTCCGACCCCGCCCCATCGCTCCACGGTTTCCTAGCTCTTTCCTTTTCCCCCTCTTCCTTCCCTGCGTTTCTTTCCCCTGCGCCCTCGCTCGCCTCTCTCCCTCCTCCCTCGTTTCCTCCCCCCTTCCTCTCCCCATCTTCCTCGGTTTCTTCCGTCCTTTCTCTCCCCCTCCCCTCCCCCGCCTCCTTTTCCCTGCGCTCCCGCCCCCCCCGCCCCCGCCCCCGCCGTGCCTGCAGACGCGCGGATCGTCCATGCGCTCCTCGCGGGCAGAATGCTGGGCAGCAGCGTCAAGAGCGTGCAGCCCGAGGTGGAGCTGAGCGGCGGCGGCGGCGGGGACGAGGGCGCGGACGAGCCTCGGGGCGCCGGTAGGAAGGCTGCAGCGGCGGACGGCAGAGGCATGCTGCCCAAACGCGCCAAGGCGCCCGGCGGCGGTGGAGGCATGGCCAAGGCCAGTGCGGCCGAGCTGAAGGTCTTCAAGTCCGGCAGCGTGGACAGCCGAGTCCCCGGCGGGCCGCCCACCTCCAACCTGCGCAAGCAGAAGTCGCTCACCAACCTCTCGTTCCTCACCGACTCGGAGAAAAAGCTGCAGCTCTATGAGCCCGAGTGGAGCGACGATATGGCCAAGGCGCCCAAGGGCTTGGGCAAGGCGGGGTCCAAAGGCCGCGACGCTCCGCTTATGTCCAAGACGCTGTCCAAGTCGGAGCACTCGCTCTTCCAGGCAAAGGGCAGCCCGGCGGGCGGCGCCAAGACCCCCCTGGCTCCCCTCGCGCCCAGCCTGGGAAAGCCGAGCAGGATACCGCGCGGCCCCTACGCCGAGGTCAAGCCGCTCAGCAAGGCTCCTGAGGCGGCCGTGAGCGACGACGGCAAGTCGGACGACGAGCTGCTCTCCAGCAAGGCCAAGGCGCAAAAGGGGTCCGGGCCCGTGCCCTCCGCCAAGGGCCAGGAGGAGCGCGCCTTCCTCAAGGTGGACCCCGAGCTTGTGGTGACCGTGCTGGGAGACCTGGAGCAGCTGCTCTTCAGCCAGATGCTGGGTAAGTGTTGCCTCCCCGCCCCACCCCTGGCTTTCTCCTAGCCAGCTGAAGGGAAGGTGTGAGGAGAGCTCAGCCCCCTCTTTTTCTCCTCCTCCCAGTAGGGCTCTCCAGATTTCGGTCAGGTTGTGAGGGGGCATTGGGCCCAGATGTGCGGGGCTGGCCTATCTCCAGATGCGCGTGGCTAAAGTGCATCTTCTTAAAGATGTCACCAGGCAGGAGCCCCGGCTCTGCTCTGGCCTGCTCGAGGGGAGGCTGGACAATGGTGTGGGGCTCACACGTTCTCAGAAATAGAGCCTATTAGCTTCCTCGATTTTTAACGCCCAGAATCCTAATATGGCAAAAATCTGAGGCTGATGGAGATCTCAGTTGTGTTGTGCTCTGTGCTTGGCGAGAGAGCATCCAAGCATTGCTAGGGGAGCGTCCAGTGAGAGCCCGGATCTAGAGGACAGATGTGGGGAAAGCAGATGTGAGGGCTGTTTGGCCCCAGAGCAGAACTGAGGCTCCACTTCCTCTGTGGATCCCCGATGGGAGCGCGAGTCGGATTTCCCGGGTGTGGGGGTTCTGGCAAGGAGACACGTCTGGGGCCAGGGGGCGGGCGGGCAGCCAGCTGCACGCATCTGGATGTGCGTCCGATACCTCGGCCCAGGCTCTGGCTCAAACCCCTACCCCCCGGCTTTTTTTTGGAGAGTGTGGAAAGGTCTGGGCTCTCGCGCGGAGACTCCTGGTTGACTGGGAAGCCTTTGCCCTTTGGCTAATGGAAGCGGAGCGGGCGGGAAGGGAGGAACAAAGCTTGCTCGGGCGGAGGAAGCGCAGAGAGCTGCTCCATTGTTCTCGGAGCTTGAGGAGTCTATGCAAAAAACCCGGAACGGGCCCCGGAACTGCGCTTGCTTTCCCGGGAGAGCCCTCACCCGGAGAGGGATAGACCCGGGATGTGCAGGACTCAGGGCTGCCGCGCCTCGGGAGCAGGCACGGGTCGTGCCGGGGCCATGGGAGGACGGCGGCAAGGCCTGGAGCCCGAACGGGCGGGCCGCCTTGGCTCCGCGGACTTGTTGCGGTGGCTGGGATGTGGGTCCTCAGGCGCCGAGGGACCCGAGCTTCCCGGGTACCAGGCAGGCTGCCCGCCCCGCTGGGGGCTGGGAAGGGGCGTGTCCGTGCGCGTGTGAGGGGGCGGGGCCGACGCGGGCTGCGGTCCGGGAACCGGCTGGACGCTGTGGGGTGGGTGGGGTGGATGGAGGGTGGGGGTGTTCGACTGGCAGCTCTGGAGAATGCAGAGCAGGAGAAGACTGCTTGGACCCGCTCTTGTCACCCTAGGATCCCCAGACCCCGGAGGGGCCAGTATGAGGAACCGCTGACCAGGGGCAAGAGGCTCTTGGAGCTTTGGATTGGGAGCCTCTCATAGCAGGCCGCGTGTGGACTTTGCAGGGACAGTCAGGAGACTGGACAAGGGCAGAGAGGGGAAGAGCAGCCTTTTCCTTCGGAGAGCCCCTCCAGAAGGCCTCGGCCTCAGCAGGAACGAGTGGGGATTGGGGGTTGGGGAGCACAGAAGCTATCTGGGCAGCCTCTCACTGCAAAGAGAGTGTGTCACCGCCGCGCTGAGTGCCGTCCTCAAAGAGCTTACGGTCTGATGGGGTAAGACAGACAATGAAGAAATAAAATAATTCCAGACACCGAGAAGGCTATGGAGAAGCCAAAAGGGGACCCTGTGTGAGAGGAGGACTGGAAAGGAGAGGTCTCCAAGCTTAAGGAGGTGATCATTGAATTGTGGCTGAGACTAGAGGGGCCACCAGGCAGGCTGGCTGGGGGAGGAACATTCCCCAGGCACTAAGAAGCAGGGGTGGACAGGGTGTGGATGGTGCCAGAGGAGAGGAATTGAGCATCTGACTGTCTCCTGGGGAGGCGAAAGGAGTGTCAGCGACTCAGAAAAGTAGAGGGCACAGCTCCCTTTTCAAGGTCAGGGCTTCACCTGTTTGGAATGACTTAGCCGATCGGGGCTGTCCCCTGGCCTGAAAGACCCAGCACTGTCTCAGGATCTGGCTGCCTGGTTGAAGCACTCTTAGTTGCTCTTCAAGAGGCAGTAACCTCAGAAACCCTGACAGATAGTCCTAGAGCTGACTGGGGATGGGGGTGGAGGGCAGGAGATGAGGGGGGAGCTGAGCTGGGGTCCCTTGCTCACTCCTGTTCAGCAGTTGTCCTTCCCAAAGCACACTGGTGCAGCAGCCTCTCTGCAACCTTGGAGATAGGAGAGAACACCTCCCCACCACATCCCACTTGGGGAAATTCAGGGTCAAAGTCTCTAGGGCCTTAGAGCCACCTCTAAGTTAGTGATGGAAGGCAGGTTCTCCTTCTTTTCCTAAGTCACTGGCTTCATTTGGGAGGCCTGATTGAGAAAGTGGCATCTGCAGGTCAAGAGGGGTGTGACCAAAGCAAGTGTCCCTGGACATAGGCCACCAACCTGCCCTGATGACCCCATAGAGGGGCTGAGAGGCTAAGATCTCTGGTGGGGGGAGAGAGATGGTAAGTCTGGCAATCAGGCTGGACTGTTTAGGACTGTGAGGACCAAGGTGGGGGTGGGGCATGCAGGTAGGTCTGGGGGGACAACGCTTGGCATCACAGCGGGGGGGGGAGCTGCTGTCTTCAGGTAACACCTCTCTTCCGTGTGAAGGTGGGAGTTGGGGTGGAGGGGAGACTGACCTGTTTGGGGGCCAGGAGACAGTAGAGCTGGGTCAGACTCTCCAAGCCTATGAAGATGTTCCAGGTTGTCAGGACTGGCCTTCACTGGAGAGCAGAGTGGCCTCTGAGGAGAAGAATGGCTGCCTTGATGCCTCAGGATGTTGAGTAAAAACGCAGAGCATTTGTTTCCCTACCTGGGAGGCTGGGGGTCAAAGGTTACACACTCCTTGGCACCATCCCAGACCCAAGAAGCTGCCAAGACCCAATTCCTTGGGGGGAGGGGATGGTAAGGGAGGAGGGGTGAGGCAGACCCAAATAAGAGCCTTTCTGGAATAAAAATGAAGAGCTGAAACTTGATCATTCTCTTCCCAGAAATCAGCTGGAACCCAGATGGTCTAGGCAGGCTCCCTACCCCTTCCCTTGCTTTGGAAGCTGCCAAATAACTAGGGTCCCACTAGGTTCCCCCTGGAAACTTGGAAGGCTGAGGGGTGAGTGCCCGGGGGAACATGGGCCAATGTCAGCAATCAGATGCCTTTGGACCCTGGCCGATAATCTACACCAGGCAGTTTGACATTAAGAGGAAATGTCACCAGGCCTGGAACCAAGGACAGGGTCAGAGGCTGCAATCTGGAGTTCCCTGCCTGGAAGTTCTAAGCTCTGTGACCTCTCCTGGAACTCAGTTTCCCCATTTGTGAATGTTAGAGGACCCCCCACCCCCACCCCATGGCTCTTCCCTACCTATAGGTTTAGGAAGGAGGATGCAGATTAAGGTGATCAGACCTTGAAAATGTCCCAGGCCATTTAAATAAACAATAGCATCCCAAACCACACTCTTCCTGCCTCATCAGCCCTGGACCTAAGGATCTCAAAGCAAAATCAGCCTGTTGAGCCGCCACACATTCAGTTTTCCTTCCTTCAATCCTCTAGGCAAAGAGACAAAATAGAACAGCTAAAGCAGCCCAAGGTTGTGGTGTAAAGGAACCCAGGCCTCTGGAGTTCCTAGTGCCACTTCCTCATGGTGTCTGGACCCTTGTGAGGGGTTGCCATGACAACAGTTAGGCTCTCAGAGGCTGAGGGCAAACAGAAGAGGGGAAGGAAGTCCAGGAAGTCATCCATCTCTAAGCCAGTTGGTTGATGTGGGTTTTGGAGGAGTGGGGAGGGTGGAGTTTAGTTTAGGGAATGTGTTCTGGAACCCTTTGAATAGGGGGAGGGAAGAAATTACTTCCTTTTTCTTCAGTGCACTGGGTGGGGGTCTGGCTGGGTAGAGAAGTTACAGTGAGCTCTCCTGAAAAGAACTGATACCCAGAGGAGACAGGTGATTTGCATAGGCTCAAGTAGCACCCTCAGGTCAGAGGCTCTGCATCCAGAGCCACTCCCGCGCAGCCTGCCCGGGAGCTCCCCAGAGGCCTAGCAGGAGCATGAAGGCAAGGTTAAACTCACTAGCCTTCCCTTGGGCACAGCAGTTGACCGGAGAGTGCCTGTAGAGTCACAGGCTGAAGGAAGGGCTGTGGAGAGGTGTGGGGGTCTGCAGGTGAGCATGTATGTGGAGAAGAAATTGGCATAGAACTTTCCAGCTGTGAGGCCTCCTGCCTTCCTCAAGCTTAACACTGAGGGGAACATTTCTTTTCTCCCTGCGCGGAACTTTACCTTCCCAGTCTAGGCTTTAGTGTTATTTTGGGGCCCCAGCCCGGTCCTGGTTCTATCCATTGGGCATTGCCTCGTTCTCACCGCTGTAGCAAAGCCTTTCTCTTCACATGGCAGCCATGGCTCTGCTTCTGAGAGTAACGGATGGATGGATGAGTAGGTCTTAGGGGTAGTTCTCTGTCTGCTCTGGGGAGACAGGCAGATGGAGCAGAAGTGCCTGGAGCTTCTCTACTTTCCTGAAGCATAAACCAACCCAGAGAGATGCCCTTCACCATCAATGGTGGCTCCAACCCCAGGCCATGGGCCCCTTCTAGACTGAATGGGTAACAGGACCAAGTCACCTGGAATCTTGGGGTGTTTTCTGACTCTTCCCATTTGTTCCACCTCCCACCCCACACACACATCTACTGTGGCTACAGAGGCCCTCCTCCCGTGTCCTGTCCCCAACCCTAGGCTGCTAGCACCAGATACTTTTTCCTGCTAACTTCCAATCTCTCCCCTCCCTGCAACCCTCCCTCCACACACACATACCCATGACTCACAGCCTCTGACCCCAAGGACTGAAAGTGCAGGTTGCTTTCTGGGGTTCAAGGGGGAACCAGTCCTGCCTTGACCAGGCTGAGCAGAGCCCCCCAGGGCTCCTAACTGCAGCTTAGCACCTTGCTGCCGCCTCATCCCTCCCCCCA